GGGTTTTCTGGCTGGTGTTGGGAAGTCCTCATGAACAGGCTGATGACTCCTGGCACAGACAGAGTCACAGGGAAGCCCAAAGCACCGGCAGGATGGTTCCCCTCTGCAGACATCAGGCATCCCTCCGCCCCAGCCCTTGCACAACTGCCCGGTGACCCCATCGCGGCTGGGGTTTCCCTTTCAGTGCCCCTTTTGCCCCCATCTATTTCTTGGACTTGGCTGTATTTGTGGCACCCCTGGGGTCCAGGTGTCTCCTCCCAAGCTGAAGTCTCCTGCTTTGGGACTTCTCTTCTTCTATTCCCATACATCTCCTGACAAAACCTAGAGACAACAGAAGTCTTTTGGCTTGGCCTTTGGTCCTTAATTTCTGCTTGAGCCAAGTTTGTGTGGCTTGGCACTCAAGGGTTAAATGGTCACATAAGGAATTCCTGTTCCTATTGTAGCAAATACTGTATTTTTTAGTTAGTCTAAAGGTTAACAGGTCGCTCTGTCAACTTCATTGCCGCACTGCTTGTTCTTTGCATGCAAAATAGTCCCATGTTTTTGTTGTCATGGGAAATTCCTTGCCTGTGAACTGTGACAGTCTTTTTACCTAGCATGAGAAGGGCCGGTGTATATAACTTAATTGGATGAGTCACATCAATACACAAAGTTAGCCTGCCTGTGAAGTGCAAAAGCAGTAAGAGTGATGGGTGAATTTACAGCTTGGGTGAATTTACAGCTTCAGGAAATGTCTACACGCTTTTGCTTTGAGTGAGCATCAGAGCTAACATGTGTTATGTAAATGCATGTGGTTGCACAACTCGCTCCTCAGCGTTAGTGATCTCACATCCATTTGTGTGTACAGAGCGGCTGAACAGTTCTCCTAAAAAATGAGCCTATTGGTGCTCTAAAGGCAGAGATCCGTGGGTGATCTGGGCTGTATTAAAAAGAGAACAGTGCAGCCCGTTTACACTGACTTCTCAAGTTTCATCCCACAGACAAAATATGCTGGGTCAAACCAGAAAGCACGTTCGTTGCGGCACCATTTCCCTGCCAAAATGAATTCTCTTCTCGGTGATGCAAACACTCTTGAGGTCAGTGCTCTCACGCTCTCATGCTTTCCAGGTCAATAGGATATTACTCTGAGCATTCGCTTCCACTGCTAAAGAAAAAATGCAAGCAGAGATTTCAGATACCCATCCCAGCAGCTGGAGACTGCCCAAAGGTCCTACAGTAAAGAAATGCAACCCCAGGGCCAGGTTTGGCACCAGGCTTCCCTGGAGCGGGACAGACACGTAGTCCACGTCTGCTTTTCAGGAGCCATGCTTACCTGCAAGGCTGAGCTCTTTGCAGTCACTCTGGGCTAGCATGATGGCACTTCCATATCCTACAGTCATCACCTAAAATAATTTCTGACATCTGAAATAATTTGTTCTTGAAACCCACCTTTTACTGTCTATAATACATTCATTTGGAAAAAAAATATTGCAGGTGTAAACCAGACAAACCAGGCATTGAAGGAAGGGAAAATGAGAACCAAAGGACTAACTTTTTAGGCTAAGGCAAAAAAGTGTATGTTCCTGGTTTCGCATCCGTTGTCAGAAGTGGAAGAGGTTTCTTCTGCATTATTATTCTCCTTTGAAGTAATTTTTAATACAATGTGCAACTAAGACTATAAGTTCTAGTATTCTGCTCTGCAGCTGAACTGAAATAAGGTTCCAATTTCTAAGTTTCTGATCACACCAAAATGGATTTTTCCATTAGAAGCTTATGGACCCAGAAATAAGAGAGATTTTTTGTATGAGACTATAGTGGAATTACACTTAGGAACTTACCAATGAGCTTCTGGGGAGCCTAAGACACTTCAAATGTTTGAAAAAGTTAGAACTAGGTTTTTTTTACGACAAATGTGATTTTAGCAGAGGAAGAGGGACTCCTGCCCTAGCAGACAGTCTGCTCCACAATGAGAAAATGTATACTGGTACCTACAGCAGTGTAAGGTCTCAGCAATGTTGGCTCAAAAGAATTTGGGCATATTGAGACACTTGTTACTCCCCCTATATACATATCAGACCCCCAGCTTTTGATGCCCCTAATGTTTTACTTTTAGACCTATTGGTCGTAGCTGACTTTTAGCCTTATTTGCCATACAGTAATAGGAGAAAAATATTTACATATTTTCTATCAGAATGATGCCCTTGCATTTTTAAGTACCTGCAAATGACAGACTCTTCCCGGTTTTCAGCAAACAGAAGCAACAGGCCAGCACCTATTTGATCTGAACAGGTTTGGAGGAACTTCCTTCCTTGACCTGCTTTTTAAGAAATCTGAGATTAAAGGCAGCAAAGACCCAACTCCCAAACCTGCACTGGCTGTAGCAGCTCTTAACAGAACAGCACAAAATATCTGGCAGAGTGCTGATACCAAAATATATCACTAGAATAAAAACAGATTCATGTGCTGTCCCCACACACTGAACTACTCAAAAAAGTTGTACTTTTAACATCTAAACCAAAAAGACTAACAACCAAAACCTTAAATTTCCTGCTTGTGAGCTGTCCCACATCTCTTCACAATAAAAGTGAAAATGTCATGTAAATGATCAAAAGAAACTGTCTGAAAACAGTAGGTGCCAAATATAGTTAAGCGTTATTTTTTTTATTGTCTGATAACACTGTGATAATATAAACTGTATAAAGCATAAAACACTTCCATAAAGCAGAGTAAGTACATATTATGAAATAAAAATACAAATATTACGTTAACAAAGGCAAAAAAACATTAAAAACACTACAATAAAATAACAGTACCAGTTTCTTCCTGTATTACAAAATTTATCGAAAATGTTTATGCAGCACTAAGTTAAGTTACTTTTATTTTCTCTCCTGATTTTAAACATGCACTAACTCAAACAAAATCTATTAATCAATACAGAAAATGTTATTAATCGCATAACATTGCATGTACATTTAAAGAGGGATGATGCACTGGCTGTTAAAAGCAATGCATTATAATTACTTCCCTTCCCATGGGCTTACAGATTGTTGCAATTAAAAATAGCTCAATAATTCATGATAAAAGGAACAGCCACTGAATTAGCAATAAACTCTGATAAATGAGCAGTTATTGTAAAAACTGTTTGTCAGAAAATTATCAAACAAAAGGATCAGCTATGCTTCAAATAGTCTGTGCACAGTGATGGCATTCACTGAGATCATGGTCTTTGCATTTGCTAGGATCCTGACAGCCCTATCAGAAAGATAGAGGGTGAAATCGGAACCCTATTAACGTCAGCAGAAATCTTGAGACCAAAATTCCACTTACAGTTCTTGAAGACAAACACACGTACCTTCTGACCACGATACTGCAAATAACCCTACATAAAACGTGCTTTGTTTTCACCATGATGATATTCCTAGCGAAAGAAGTGCTTTTCTTCTCCATCTGCTGTGGAGTGCTGGACAAGCAACCCACAGGGCAGCTGCGGATGTGTTTTTCCCCTCTCACCTCTGCAAACACCTTTGTATGCTCTTCTGCATTAGCTGTCAGCGACAGCAACCTCGCCTTGAACTAAACTATTCAGCCCCTGCCATCTTCTTCAAACTCCAGAAGAAAGCAGCTAAGGAACAACTGCTGGGACTGCCAGGTGCATTTGCTGAGAGTTAATCCCACAAATTTTAAAAAAATGAAACAAGCCAGCAAAGTGCTGCGACAATGTGTGACTCCTAGATCTTGCACACAGTGCAAGGCCATCAGTGACCTCGTCAGTTCCTTTTGCTCTTTCCCATGTTACACACTTGCCAATTACATTATTTTAAAGGAGGCTGGAAGTTTTCGGAGGTACGACTGCATTTTTCTATGCATTTGCATAGTTATCTCAACACTTGCTGAAATGGTACTAAAATAATCTATGTCTATGTGTGGTCTTTCATTATTCAACGTATTAAAAATATATTTTTAAAATAGCCCTTAACACATGGACTACTTCACATTCTTAGCTAGGAATGTTTTAGCTATTCCCAGTAAACATTGCCACTGTCCCTTTGCAGAAATGTGATGCTTTTAATCATGATCAAACGCAAAATCACTTTTAATTTATCTATAAACATTTTGGTCAGAAATACATGAACTAACAATAATTTAACACACAAGTGCTACTAACTCAAGAATTCAAGGAATGTAATTTTGTGGAACAAAAGAGAAAGAAAATAGAAGAGGCTGGATTTTTTGCTGAGTGGATACATACATTCTTAGAGAGTAGTAAAGGGGATTTCAGTATTTGTGAAAATATTTGAGATTAAAAGATTCAAGAGCAGATCCTCCTTAGCATCAGTTACAAAAGCTCTACTAGCATTAATAACCAGCTGAGGATCCTACTTATAATATCAAAGATGTATAAACCCCATTTCTGATGCCTGTTTGTTATCAAAAGTTTCTTGGGTTTTTTTAAGAGACACCACTCATGCAAGAAAAGTGAAATTTGAAACACAGCTTGATGATGGAGTTTTGGTAAGGCCAATGTAGCAAATGGTTATTCCTGAGAAAAACCCCTTCCAGTATAAGAAATCAACCTTAACAGAACTAGTAAGCAGCCAAGCGACTTCATATACTAGAGAGCTGCTGTCACGTAGTAATTATTGACTTTTCAAACCAAAGTCAGAGGACTTCTTCTCATTGATACAAAGCAGAGTGGAATCTGAGCCCAAGCCCAGGTGCACATATTGTCTCTGTTATTAAAGTTTTACTCTATTGTGTTTCTAATTCCATCTTCCATTTCAAGATACACCCAATTCACATCACTTAAAAATTAGACAATTGGCCCCACTATGAGAAACCAGTGTTTACAATTTTGTAAGGAAAAAAAAGACGCTGAACCCAATGACCACAGTAAAAATAAACTAATTCCATATTTTTAAAAATAAGTATATCAGCATACTGAAATGTTTTCAATGTTTTTGTTTTAAAAAAATAAGTACAAAATTATATTGAAACTTGAAAATTCACAAGAAAACATTCTCAGGAGTTTTGCACAACCCTGTTCAGGAGCAGTGATGCTCTGATAATGCCTTTTTGACTCCAGTTTGACAGAACCAGCTTCTTGAAGGAGGGGGACCTACAACACATCTTCTACGTATGGTTGTTGTTAAGATTGTTCTTATTAAAGAATCTCCTTGCTTCAACACTGCTAAGAGACACAGAGCAGCGAGATGGATTCTCTTTCCTGTATTCAATGCTTTCCACCATAGCTTGCTTGATCAGCTGGAAAACAATGAACAATGTGTCATTCAGGGAAATAACTAACATTTTAATGATTTATTAATTGATAGAAAAGACCCCTTCAGATGTTAACAACTGTTGCTCCTGCTTTTTTTATCACTGCTGCATCATTGAACTAAGTGATTACTAGTATTATTATGAGCATTATTTTCTTGATTGTATAAAACAATTAATTTAATGTAGTTAGTATATAAAGATATGACAGAATACCACCAGTGTCAAAGAAGTCACACAAGAATATATACCATTTAATCCAAGTCCCAATCCAATTCTGAAAGGTAAATCAAACATTGAGAAAATCCATACTTAAAGGTTACAGATAATAATTATTATCTTGAGAAAGAGTAAATCTTCATTTTTGCTTCCTTTGTCCTGAAGTAACAAGATTTGTTCACTATATTGAAAAAAAATCTATTTATCTGGGATGATCATTTACACTTGTGAATACAGCAAGTCACTCTGTGGATTCTGGGATCATGGTCTTGTGTTACAGCTAGTATCCATTAAAAATAATTATTACTGAGTTAGTTGATAAAGACATTTCCAGAGATCTTTACAAAAAAATTCCATTTTCCTTTTTTCCCAGTGTCCTGGTTTTGGCTGGGATAGAGTTAATTTTCTTCCTAGTAGCAGGCACAGTGCTGTGTTTTGGATTTAGGATGAGAAGGATGTTGATAACACACTGATGTTTTAGTTGTTGCTAAGCAGTGCTTACAGTAAATCAAGGACTTTTCAGCTTCCCATGCTCTGCCAGGTGCACAAGAAACTGGGAGGGGGCACAGCCAGAACAGTTGATCCAAACTGACCAAAGGGCTATTCCATACCATATGACGTCATGCTCAGTATATAAGCTGCGGGGAGCTGGCCAGGGGGCAGCAATTGCTGCTCGGGAACTGTCTGGGTATCGGTCGGTGGGTGGTGAGCAATTGCATTGTGCATCACATGCTCTGTATATTATTATTACTATTATTATTATATTGTTATTACTACTACTACTACTACTATTTTACTTTATTTCAATTATTAAACTGTTCTTATCTCAATCTAGGAGTTTTTCTCACTCTTACTCTTCTGATTCTCTCTCCCACCCCATCACACAGGGGGAGCGAGTGAGCAGCTGCGTGGTGCTTAGTTGCTGGCTGGGGTTAAACCATGACACCCAGTTAGAAAATCAGCATACATAAAGAACTGAGTATAAAATCCTGAACATAATGTCTACATCCTGTGCAGACACCATTGTTCAGTTATCCTGCAGGACTTTTGATGGTAAAATGACAAAAAACCACAGGAACAAAATTAAAAAGTATATGAACTTACATAGGGTATACTCCAGCCCTCATTAAAACAAAGCAGATTTTTTCCACTAACTATAATGGGCTTTGACCCAGCCACAACTTTGAGAATAGCAAGTGGTACAACTAAATGCAGGAAGCTCTTTGTATGCCATAACAATCAGGCAAACACTGAAGTAAACACCTGTACCTTCTGTAGAGCAGATTCAGACCTTTACTCACATCATCTACTTCCCCCTTTAAAAATCTAGACCCTTTAAGCCCCTTCCACATTGGCATACATACATCTATGTTATTGAGAGTGTTGAACTCCATTAGATCATGAAGCCTCTTGAAAGCCTCATTGGGATACTGGAAGTTGAAGGTAGAGAACGGTGTATTTGGATCATCAAAAATGTCAAAGTCTGCAAAATCCTTCTCTTCCTGTGTTTCTCTTGGAACGCCTGCATACAGAACAAATACAAAAACACAATCTAAATGTTAGTTCTGAGGACTTATTATCTTATTTTTAATGGCTCTTTTGAAATCCCTAACTACTACAGATAGACTTAAGAGTTATTTCAGAGACAAAACATTTCTAGGATATAATCAACATGTCTTTATAAAGCTTCAAAGGAACAGCTAGATTTAGCATCAGAAACCGTGTGCTCACCTGGAGCTTTGTACTTCCGGAAGTTGATGTTGGCCAAAACAAAATGGATTATAGTTGGACAGTCTTTCTCTGAAGAGGTATCCTTTGGTTTGAAAACATAGCACTCCTTCATACCCTCTCGATCAAATACATTTGGGTCTATTTTCGGGAAAGGAAGCTTGTTCATTTTGGCCCATTTTTCAGCAAGCAAAATTTCCTGAAAAGATAGCAAAGACTCAGGTGCATATAAGCATCCACCACAGAGTGAGATTTTATGTAGAGAGACACAGATCAAATTGGTTACTAGAAGCAGTTTTATTAACTTACGCTTCTTTACGGAGAAGGACTGATCAAGTCAATCTTTGTATAGATGACCCAGTATGGCAAACTGAACACCTAATTCAGCCTGCCCAATCTTCACCACCTGCGATGATTCACAGGAAGGAAAGAGCTGGTCTGTCATATAAATCTTTGGGTGAATTTACAGAGCTGACAGCTAGGAAAAACCATCTGTAATTTTACTTGCAAACTGAGTATCAGTGCCATGGAAACCAATGAGAGTTAATAAACACCAATCCACGTGTTGTTATGTTCAGAGTCACATTACAGCACAGACCAGCATTTGAAAGCAGGCTAAGTGAAGAACTAAGTCTGCAAAACAGGCTTTTTTTTCCTCATGACAACTCAGTAAACAAAATAATCTGTAAATAATGACTCAAAAGCATGTAATGAGGGTGTGTGAGAGGGAGGAGAGGGAAGGTCAACATCTTTAATCTTGGTTTTGAATGAAATAGGACCCTTCTTTGAGTAACTGTTTTGGATACGCAAGAGATTAAAAGATAGTGGGTATAAAATGATAAAATAAGAGTAGAGTCATTGACTTCAGCTGGCTGATTTCCCTGTGTGTTGGAGTAATAAAAGTATATTAGAGCGCTACCATAGATATAGGCCAACTCTTGAATTGGCATTTACTCTTTGTAATGCAAGCAGAACCAATGGGATTGCACAGCCAGTAAACTAAACTGGTTTCTGTCCTTTAGGTCACTAGCATACAGCCTGTTTGTGCACTATACTTGTGTATTAGCTGGAGGTACGTCACTCTTTTTATTATATACATATTTGTGCTTTGGAAATAATGAACCATTCCCTTCAATGGTGGCTTCATGAAAACCTGAGGCACCATTTAATTTTCCCACCATTTTTTCTTGAGTAAAAGGATTTTTCCTTTTTGAAATTAGAGTTTACAGAAAAACCTTCAGGACACCACTTGACTTCCAATCAACCTCTCCATGTAACATTACGTTCCCCAAAACAGCATAGAAAATTGCAGCTGACAAAGACGGAAAGCTCAACGCATAGGCTAAGACTAACCAAGACGACTATACACAGCCTTTTGCACAGACTCTACATGCAGAACACAATGTAGCTGGAGGAAAAAGAAGATGTTTCAGAGGAGATGGCAGTGCTGTGTCAGCAAATTTAGCTGACTGGGAAAATACTCAGTCATGACAAAAAAGGAGGCAAGTTCTTAAACAAATAGAAAATTAAAGGAAGAAACAGACTGTGGGATTCAGTCAATTACGGAAAAATGAAGGATCTCAGCACCAGTACAAGTCTTCTCAGTGTTCTACTCTTCCAGGTAGTCCCCAAGAGACCTAGAGATTACAGAAGTTACTCCTCCTTATTCTCCTGAAACTTGGGGATTTTGCATTTGACAACACTGATCTAGAGTTCATTTTGCTACTGCTGTTATTTTCTAATGTTGTTTTGGGGTTTCGTCCCTTGACAGCAAAAGGAAGGAAGAAAATACTCTGCTCTAACTGAAATTTCTCTGCAAAGCAATGAAGAATGCCAACTGTTTCTCAAACAGGCAAGTATTCTTGGTTTCCTTAAAAATTATTTTTTAAAATCCACATAGGTTTCAAATAAATACTGCCTCTTTTTTGAGTACCTCACAGTAGTCTCATAAGTGCTGCTTTTTTCTGTGTTAGCTACCAAAATGGTCCAACATTCAACTTTTCCGATCAGTGGAAGCTGTCTAGACGCATAGGTTGTACAGGTCATACAGAATAACAGCTATGTTTTCCAAACGTGCTGGATTTTTCTGTGGTTGCTTTGCTCTTCCCTGAATGGATTTAGGAATCCTACTTAAACCAGTATTGGGATGATGTAAGATCCTAGTGAGATGTAAATGAACAGTTAGCTCCACTTCCAAAATGTTATATATTTAGCAATACCAGAGTGACTGAGACACATTTCTGCAAGATCATGACAGAAAACCATTCATTTACATCACAGCATCACAGAGGAGAACAGCTGTACAGCACTAGAGCACTAGCACAATGGTAAATTGCTTACTTAATTGTTTAATACTGACATAAAATAAAATTCTGCAATTCAGTGTGAAGGCAAGACTTCCATAAAAACAACAGAACTACTACTTCAAACAAATTATATTAGCTTTCTTTGTGTCAGTTGTCTCATGTGAGTCATGTAAACAGGAACTGAGGCAGAGTGCAATATTCTGCCTTGATGTGGAAACAAATTGCTCCAATGCTGTCGATACAATAACACTAAGGCCTTCTGGAACCATGAAATGTGCAACCAACCTGACTGGAAGAATACAACTGAGTCAACTTAAATTCATGAACACAAAGAAAGGAATGGCCTGTATTACTTACTTTGAAAGGAGGACTGGAATCACTTGGCCTCGCTGAAAAATCAAAAGAGATGATGAGATCAACGCCTCTTTGAGGTCTTAAGATAAGTGGGTATGGCAGGTTAAAGGTAAGACCACTGTCCACTACATGAATCTTTTTGCTCTTCACATCTAGTGGCTCGTATATCCTCTCAAATTCATCAGGATCTGCGCAGAACAAATGAAAACAAAACAAAACAGGAACACACAAGCTAAGAACTAAAATTGTGATGGGCTTTCAAGTGTTTCCCCAAGTACTGAAGATTCCACAGAATTAAAAAGGTACAGTATCCCAGCTAAGCATACTGTGAACTCATCTGTAACCTTAACTCTCATCTTAACAGCTGGAGAATGAGGGGAAATAAACAGAGCTGGAAGAGACCTCAGTAGGTCAAGTACACAAACGCCCTTTCCCAAGGCAGAAGCAGGCTGGCTCGAGGCAAAACCAAAGGGCACAAATGCCCAGGTTTTACCCTAGCCTTCTCAACTTTACCCCTTCATCCCTAACAACCCATACACAAAGGAAAGCATTTATGGGACATTAAGAGACAGATTCCTAACGTACATCCCCTCAGTGTCCTACAAGCCCTGCCCAAACCTCTTCCCCCAGGTTCACTCCCAAACCCCCTGTCCTTCTCAGGTCCTCCTCCCCAAATAACTGAAATTTGCCTAACAGCCTTAATGTGGCTCTGCTGGGGTGATGCTTTTCTATGTTTGTTTCTGTCCATTAAAATTAGGATTAAAATTAGTCAAATTATTTGTTTTTCAACCTACACCAAATCTCCTGACCTCATACTCACTACTATACTAGGAACAAAAAAAACCAGTAACCCATATCTGTATCTGAAATTTAAGCATCGGGCACAATTACATGTAAACACTTACTGCTATTACTGTCACGGTATAACACAAAATAGTCTCCTACCTCTAACTGAGGGCTGAAGAAGATGGTATTTCCCCTTTAACCCTAATATTCCCTGGGTGCAGCTCAGAAACGAACAAGCAATTTTTCGTAAGTGTCTTTGCATTTATCTAAGTCTCTGGGTACTACTAAATGATCCCTGCAGTACTTAACTTTTCTCCTGACAGTCTTTTCTTGCTCTACATCTTAAAAATATTTCCAGTGCATGTTTTTGCCTTTTGAATAAAAATTAATGCTCAAATCTGTAGAGGGCAGTGTAATCTACGGAATGCTGAATAGAATAATATAATTATTACTTGCATAATTAAATTCCCTAGCACCCTAGCACTTATTGGCAATTGAAGTAATCTGAAAAAAGATATTTTAATGTGAAGAAAATCCATCAAAAATAATTCAAACTCTAGTTCCTATCATTTCAGGATCCAAGAGAAAACTGTATTGTTATGAGCAGCAAAAAAATCTCAGAACAGATATTTTGACTTTTTATTTCTGTTGTTGTTGTTACTGTTATTATTATTATTATTTATTAGAGGGCACTTTGCTAAGAAATGATGCACCAGTTTTCTAACATTTGCTTTGATTTCTAAGGGATAAAACACTTTGAAATCATTGCCTGTTGCTAAAGGGCTAAGTGTGTTTACAGACCTATTTTAGAACCAGATATATTTCATAACCATGAATTAGCATAAATCAACGAAAAAAATATTACTCTTTATTGAATTCATCATAATTAAAAAAACACTGGTAAAAAAATACACTTAACTACAGAACCTTTTAGCACAAGTTACCCAGTTTTGTTTTCCCCCTCCTTTTTCAAAGACAACATTTCAAACATAATTTAACCCTTGTTCTCAATAGAATTTTAAAAACTTGCAAAAATGTTTTTGTTCAAGTTTGTATTATCTTATTTTAAAAAATTTGAATTTGAAAGTCAACAATGGTCCTTTAAACAAGAACAGTACCACCTATAACAATGTTTGTGATGGAAGTGTTACTGCATACACAAACTTCCTACAAAAAGGGCACTGAATAACAAGACTGTTGCTATTGCTTACAGCCTTCATGACTCTATCATCAAATCTGTCATAATAATTTTATGATATTTTAAATGATGCCATCAATAAATTTAAAATTACCACATAGATTGTTTTTATTAGTTCTGGTCTTCTGTGATTACAGGAGAAATTCAACTTAAAGGTTTTTCTTTTTATTATAATTCATTTTATAAGTACATTTCTAATCTTTGAACTGAGAAGAAAAGTTCCAAAATAGAACTTGTGTCCATGTTATGGGGTCAGAAATCAAAAAGCAATGAAGATAATCCAGTGTTATTTTAATGACATGACCTTAAAGGTAGACTCAGCATGTAATTTGATTTGATTTACACAGGGTCTGGAGCCAGAGGCCAAAAGCAGCACACAATACCCCAGTGAGACAAGGCAAGCAAGCAGACTGTGGGTCAGGACACTGCAGGTGAGCCTGCAATTGCTCCTGGGAGAGGTGTAATGTACAATAAGTAGCCCTGATGCTAAAAGAAGCGTCACCTACTCTATAACCTGTGCTGTAGTTATTCTGAAGGGCTGGATAAGAAACCTTTGGGTTTTTTATACTTTACAACACATGAATCCAGGACAATCATTCTATATATGCAGCCCTGGTAAGTCAATCCATCATTATTCATCAAACACTATGAAGACTGAATGGAGTATTTATGCTCTGAGAGCCTGAGACATTAATTTTCAGCCCTTGCAAGCTGCTTTTATGAAAGATGCATCCATATTATGAGAAGCTTTCAGTCCATCAAGCAGCAAACTGGGAGAAGCACAAGACGTTTACGAGTACAGCTCTGTGGTAAACCAGCACAGCATGCCTATCTGATTTGCAGTAATTGGATACACAAACGGATATTCAGAACTGTTTGGAAATAAAAAAGAGAGCATGTTCTAGAGACCAAACTTTTGTCACAGATGGCAGCTTCAATAGAAGTATGGGAGATGAAAAGGGCATTTGCTACTGACGTGCGTCTACTATAACAGAGTTTCCGTAACTACTGAAATAAGGAAGCAGAGATTATGAGTTATTTTTTCCCTACTGTTATTCACTTGGCATTTTTTCAAGTGATTTTTGTGTGTTGTAATATCAAGGCACAGAAACAGAACAACTCTGAGTTCACAATGAAATCATTCAAGGGATGTAAAGTTTTAAAGTGTATTTGACATCAATTAAGAAAATGCTCAGCATAAACAGAATCCGTAAGAAAGCAAAGCCAAGCATATTATTTTCAGATGAAGCAGCTGGGATCTCTGCCATATGCACTGCAGACCCTAAATTCAATCCTCAGTAATGACTGTAACATCGGCTTAGGTCTGCCACTGTTCATCCTCTGCAGTGCAACTCAGTGGTTCTACAGAAGGTCTGAGACAACTGAAGATGTGAAGTATTATTTATATCCTTTTTGATTCATTTATTTGTCCTTTGGAGTGTCTGGTAATAAAGAGAAAGTAAGTCCTAAAGCAATTCAGACTCCTCTCTGCACTCAAGCCGATAGGTAAACTGCTAGTGGTACGAATAAATATGCAAAGCTTAAATGCATCCAGTGCCTTGGTAATATATAATATTTGAAACTTACACCAAAGTTTGCTTTTTATTTACTCCTCTGGGCTCCTAGGCTCTTACATATATTAGCAAAATTCACAGCATTAAGATCTGGATACACTTAATCACACTACCAAATGATTTGATTATATTTTATATTAACTACTGAAATGTCAAGAGTTTTTTTTAACTGTTCTTGACCATAATGTCGCAACTACTCATAGCTGTTACATTTGAGTTGTCAGTTCAGGTTTATGAGTGTGGGCTTCAGCTAACACTGAAAAAATTGCAGTTATGTCAAACTTTTGCCAGACATTTTACCCAAAGAAATTTCAGGCACTCAAAAGTAATTGCCTCAGACATGCAGGCTCATTCTGTCAAACCAGCATTTTATTTCAATTGAAATTAAAACCCAGGAAGTTGATAGTTGATTCTGAAGATTATCCACGTCTTAATTATGCAAAATTCTCATCAACTGTCATTTTTTCCAACCATACATTTACTACCCGCTTTCCTGCCTCTTTTACAACTAAGATAAATATTAAGATTACCCAGTTGTAAACACCTCTGAGATGACAGAAATATTTAGAAAGTGGAGTACAGATGGAAATTACTATACAACCACTCAAAGGGATTTGTTACATTAACCAATACACATTAGAGCGCGTCTGCTACTTAAGTTTTTAAACGACATCTGGTATTTACTGTTGCATAATGACCAGCTAGGACAATCTCTTTCCTCTGAATAGAAAATAAGGGCTGAAGTGACTACTATTATTACAAGGGATGGTTGGCAATGTTGTGCCCCTACACAAGAACATGGGAGGAACAGCACTTTCAGAGATTGGTAGTTCCTCAGCTTGATGGATGTCAGTAATAATCCACAATAATCCAGAAGCATTACAGTTTGTGTCACAGAAACTGTATGTGGAGGCTCCACCAAGTACGCATCTTCACTCTGATGTAACTTTTCTATAGGGAAACTCACATCCTTAACTCAGTGCTCTGTTGCCTACTAAGAAGAAAAAAAAAGCACCAGTGCCAGAAGAATACTACAAAATTCACTAGCTCTCATTGAGAAGATTGTAATGAACACTGTCTATAGCAAATCTTCAAAATACTAATCAAACATGATTCCTAATTCTCTGCAGCTACTGTCCCAGACACCATATACACCATATACACCATATACACCGTACTTCATGGAGTGGGGGAAGACATCGAACATCTTTTGCAAATTAACATTTTTCTGAAATTCTTATTTGCCATCCACATTCCTGTTTCCTGCTTATGCCAACATGAAATGTGGATGCACCTACGCATCAGTCACACATGAAATGTCAATGTACGTGACAGACCAGCCACACTGGGAAGAACATGGTGTCAGCAAAGCAGGGATCTACACGTAAAGAAGCATGTTGCCTCCACAGGTTTTTCAGAGGAAGAAAAAGGCAGCAGATGAGCTATAAAATTTTTGCAACAAGGAAGCCCTGTAGGAGGACAAGGAAAGGTTTTATTTCCACCAGAAGGCCTAGCACCAATAAGAGAAAAGGAACAACACAGGATACCCTTGGGAGAAGTCCACAAGAGTGAGAAAGTGGCCTTAATGAAGGGCACCATACACAAAAGCAGGTTGGTCACCTGTGCCAGCAACTCCTTCAAAACAAAGAGCCACTTCCCCTCCGAAAGGTACTGATTGTCCTGCACACTCTGCCAGGGGACACAGGAGGTAGGCAGCAAACAGAAGTCACTGTGCAGTGCCCTTCCTCTGTGACACCCAGTCACTTCATAACCTCTGCTGCTGATCAATACTCATGACTGCTGCCATGGAAATGTTCTCCTGCCTTCAGGTACCTGCTGTTGTAAGCCTCATAGTTCGATGTTACCACACACAGTTTCTGGTTTTACTAATGAATATGCAGCAAGATAGGCTTTCTGCGAACTAACCTGCAACAGCTGCATCTAGTTCATCTTCCTCCACAGACTCCTGAGTAAGAAGGTCTGCCAGAGGAGAGAGCGGGTAACAGGTGTTCAGGTTCAATCCCAGCATGAAGTTGTGCACTTTCCCAGCACGCCCTTCCCTGGTGTTGAAAAGGGCACTATCACCCACCAAAGCCATCAGCATTCGCTGCACCCAGCTTTCTTGGCTGCTGTTCTGATATTCTTGATTTGCCTCAGCATTTTCAGTGCCTGTAGAGGAAAATGAAAATAACGAACAGTGAGACAGCTAACACATAAAGTATAAAATCCAGATTTCTGGGTCTACTAAAATAAAGGACCTATTAAAATAAAAGGAACTGGGTGGGTCACAGCCTTCTTTCAAGGAGCCATGGACTGAATGTTCAGAGGAATTGAAATAAACCATCCTCTTACCTTCACAGGCCAGTGAAACTTTTCATCTGCAGTATAGTAGTGTGGATGTGTCCATCAGGAAAATAGATCGGGAATGTGTTAGATGACCTGAGCCAGACTTAACTAGTCTGGATGGCAAGTGCAACGAGGATATGGCTGTGTCTGTGCTAGCACCCAAAATGCAAGCTCTCCTGGGCTTAGGAGACAGACTTGAGTTGCCAAGATCCATGCTCTGAATGTAGACCTAATTCATCTGGCTGTGTATTGACACCCTTCTCCATCCTTTCCTGACTGCTAGAAACCCAGCTTTCCTTAAGAAGGAAAAGTCAGTCTGCATAAAAGACAATGCTATAGCATGGGAATTCTAAAATATATGAAAATATCCCTTCAGTAAACTGTAGACTGCAATCAATATCTGGTTTTAATTAACTAAAGAGTACAATGAAACATCCAGACTTAGATGTCTACAGCTAGATGTCACAGTAAAAATAACTTCGATTGATGTCAAAACTTGACTTTTTGAGTGTTTTGTATATGGAGATAATTCAGGCTCAGGCTTCATACTTTAAATCCAGCACTGAAATGCGCCTCTTTAATACAGGATGTAAAGGAACTGATTTTTATATAAGTAGAGAGAAAACAAGCATCAAACACCACAAAGTTTAGAGGTCCAACATCTGTACAATAATATTCTACAGAAGTGAGAGGGATTAGCAAGTGTTTATAAATCACAGATTTGTAGGTTATCCGCTATGGCTACAAACTATGAAAGAAATGTAATGTTTAGTGCTGGCTATAGTGCTTAAACAGGAAATCCGCAAATAAACACAAAATGTGGTATCACCCTCTATTATTTTACACATAAGGGGAACTAAAGAAGTAATCACTTAACTGAGCTAATGACATAATTAACTGTCTCATTGCACAAGTTTTTCTTTTCTTCTTGTAGATCCTGAAATTACAAAGAGCTGAATTCCCATCTTTGCTTTAGTTGTTAAAAACATAATTGATTTCTTCAGATGAAAATCACTGTTGTCCCCAAAAGTATCATCAAACAGAGAAAGCATTATTAGAACAAGACAGAGACTGTGACTAAAATCACAGAAATCCTCAGGTGGTTTAGGTGCCTGAAGATAATTTTCAATAGGATCTTTCCTTCCCACTGCCCAATGATCCCCTTGTGGTTGCGCCTCTTCTGGGAAACTGGATTTGGGCATTGTTTAAAACACTGTGCCAAGCACTAGGAATTTCCTGTATCAGATGTTATTTGTAAAGGTACTAGAAGACATCTGTGAATGCTGGAAACAAACTAATATTTGATCAAGGAACCCTTGAAAACAATGGATAGCATTAGTTTGCTGGGCTGATAAGAATTTGAACATGCCTCTAAGCTCAGTAGCTTGCTGGCAACAGACTTGTGGTGATTACTGGCTCAGCAAGCCTAATTTTTGGGTGTATGTGGAATTGCAGACCTCTGTGAAGCCCTGTTGGGCTGATGCCAAGATTGAAGATGTATGAAAGAACCATTTGATCATCAGCTTGAGCAGGAGGCATGAAGTCAAGCCAAAGGCCCTCCTGAGGTGTCTTATTCAACATTTCTCTATTTTGCTGAGCCACTGGCTCCTTGTGCAATTGGTCCTTGGGCTAGGCAATTAAGCTTTATCACTGGTATATATGATAGAAGTTATAAGAGACTATTAGTAAGACTAAAGAAAACCAGCTATGGCTAATTATCAACATCCATGAACTTGACTATGCTACGCAAAAGCTGATGAAAACAGTAAACTATGAAATAAAATGTGAGGATTTCCTTACCTTTTGGATGCTGTGATTCATCTTCACTGTCTGAACTGTCATTGCTTACAAGGTGCTTTAGCCTAATATTTTCTGTTGAAAGAAATATAAAATTACTTTAAACTTCTAGGGTTTAATTACCAGAACAGCTAAGAATTTCAAAACAATTTGAGTGATAAAACTGTCATAGTCTACAAAATAGAAAATACAGCTGAAGAGATTCAATCTGCTGTGGACATCTCTATGTTCAGAATCTGATCAGAACACATTTGCTTTAGCCTGCAATTTTTGCAAAGCTCCTGCACTAAGGAGATTAGCCAAAGGGTTGAGAAAACAAAATGGAATCCTAAAGCAGCACCTACCACTCACCTCTGCACCACGTATCTGACACATTTGATTCACCTTGATTAGAATTTAGATATATGCTTCTGTCCTCTCAATAACTCCTAGTGAACTAGGAAGACAACATTAATTTCTATTAATTACCTGCTAACTTAAAAAAAAAAAAAGATGAATGCTTAACCTTATTCATATCTGTACGAAACGGTACCCTTAAAAATAGCGGGGGAAAAACAAAAGCCAAGATGGTCATGAAAGTTCTACTGGAGTATGTGTGAAAAATAAAGGCCGATGCAGTTACACAGGTAGAGAAGACAATGGTTTTCATTTCAGAAAATGAAGTGAGAGAAATAAAAACAGAAATGAGTGAACTTCTCTGGCAAAAATCTGTATTTTGTTAGGGTTAACAGCTTTGTTTCCAAAACTACCACAAAGTGATTGCTAACTCTTCCTTACTATCTCAAGGAATTATTTTAAAGTCAAAATGAGTACTGAAAAAGCAGCACATTCCACTCCTCAGGTAAGGTTTATAGTGGAGGTGAATTCCTGTGAAAATGGATTATAGGCTGACATTATTTTCACTAATTATGGAGGGAAGCATTTCTTGAAATACAGTAGATTTGCAATGTTTTATGATCAGCCTCATCTTGGAAGCTTATTATCCTACAGAGACTGGAGACAGAAACTGAAGTCCAGTGATGCAACTGTATCCAAGAGAAGACTTTTGAAAACTAAAACCCTTTACTCCCTAGTATAATGTATGCTAGGAATCATCTCTAATAGAAATTTGAAGCCAGTTAAAATAAACTGAATGAGGGTTGTTTCCTAATGAACTTGAAAAATATCAAATAATTGTTTTTTCCATTAAAAAATGAAAATAAAATAACATCTACTTTTTCTCACAGAAGGACAATGTAGATGTTGGTCTCTAGTGGCATACCCCTGCTTTAGGCTGTAATTTCCAACAAATGCTGCAATTCCTACCAAATGCAGTATCAAAACAATGGCAATTACACTTTACACTTCTTGCTTAAGTCTAAATCTAATTCCTATGAGCATACCTGGCTGAAAGAGAAGACTGAAGAAAGAGTCACCTTAATATCAAGTGTAAAAACCCACAGCTTTATTACCTTGGTAATGAATACTGGATACAGATGACCACCACTGTTGCTTTATTTCTAGAGAGGATTATGTCCTCTTAGACTTACATACAACACTGTAAAAATCCCCACAGAAACAAAGGAGCTTAGTCATCATGTATTTTTCCTTAAATACTTTCTAATACTCAGTGGGTCTTCAATATACGAAATACCGTCCATGGACAAACACACACCAAAGACAAATACGTACAAATTCTTGAGCGATGACATAGGAGACAGCTCAAAATAAAAATTAGTGACCACAAAAGGAAGCTAACAAAACCAACAAATACAGTTTTTTGATATCAAACCATCTCTTTAAAGCAATCCCCATACAAAATTTATTATTTACTGCTTCTAGATGTGATTTATACATGCTGTGTGTAACATTAGCTCTTCCAATGTCCACTGGCATTTTGCCATTCACTTTGCTGGTATCAAGGTTTCACTGGGACATCTACAGCTCTGGTAATAGATTGTGGCTCAAGTCACATTAGTATTTTCACATCTAATCCCACTTCAAACCATATTTTTTAAATTATGTGTGAAATGAGCCATGGATGAGAGAGAACATTCTGTCTCTCAACATCTTAAAAAGCAGTAACACACACTTTTCCACTGGCAAATTTACTGACAGAGATCCCCCATTAGTAGGGGTTAACACTCATGAGGTGTATCAGAAATATGAACCTGGAGGCACAGGCCTCATTTTCATCCATAAATAATCACATTAACAAACAGCTGAATACCATCTATTAGGAGACAGAGACAGCTAAGGGGCTTGGGGTTTTTTTGGTTTGTTTTTTTTAAATCAACTAAATCTGCATTTTCTCTCCAAGGTCTTCAGAAAAATCTGGTTGTCTAGTACAATTTATTTATTGGTTATATATTTCCCTGCAATGCCATCTTCTGAAGAGGAAAAAATGTTAAAAAAACCTTTCATTATCAATTGCACCTTTGAAGAAAACACAATAAAGCCTACTCAAACCAAGCTACAACTCTTTCCTTACTGTCATTACACCATTTGCGCAGTAGGAATGAAATCAAAATATAAGTCGATATAACCAGGCTCACTAGAAAGGACCCCAAAGGCGGCATGCCAATGTTGGGGGTGAAATCGATAACCCAGCTCAAGTGCATC